ATTCGTTACTACCAGCCGTGCTCTGCCATCGAATCTTCTTCGAACTTAATGTCTCAACGGAACATGTTTCATGCTTGCGAAAGAATCCCAAGTTGATTCTTGAGTGGAAAACGTGGAAGGCATCATCTGTGGCAGGAAACCATGGCGAAAATTGAGCGATTTTTGCATAAAGATGCAGCGAAGCTGATTGGACTACGGTACGCTTTTGCTCAATATGTTTCAGCACGTCCGTTTTTCTTTCTCGTGGTGGCTTTTTTCGTTGCAAAGCGCTACAGGGGAAATAGGTAATGAGAAAGACTGACAAACACTAATGCATAGCAAGCAAGAGCGAGCGTATTGCAGTCGGCTTCGCTGCATCATTATGCAAGAAATTTGCTCAATTTTCGCCATGGTTTCCAGCCACAGATGATGCCTTCCACATTTTCCACTCAAGAATCAACTTGGGATTCTATTCGCAAGCATGAAACATTGTTCCGTTGAGACATTAAGTTCTGAAGAAGATTCGATGGCAGAGCACGGCTGGTAGTAACGAATGTTTCTCTTGTGCCATAGCCTCCTACCGGAAAGCAGGAGCGGTACTTGCAGCTTTTCTCAGCTCACATCAATATCAAATGTTAATTCCCTGAAGAAATGCTTGAGCTTGGGGTGAATTTAGTCCAGATCTCGCGTGATTGCTTGGTTTAAGAGTTTTTGCGACGACCTGACCTTTTTCTTTTGCGACAGCATTTGTTATTATACTGTTCCTCTTGAGAAGTAAGATGTTAGCACAATAAAAAAGTTTCGTAAACAGAAGTGAAAAATAATAGAAAAACGTGAGGTGGAGTATAATTTTGGGACGTCGGCTGAGTGGCCTTTTACACAAAAATTATTAGAAAAAATTCCTGTGATCTCAAGTTGAAAGATGATGTTCATAGGCAATTTCGTATTTATATTTGACACATTGTCACATTGGAGACTTTTTCGAAACATCTCTAAATTTGTGAGATTTTGGGAAATTCTTAGGTGGAGTTATAATTATGGGACGCAGTGTATTTTTATACACCTCTCACTGAATTCGCTGTGGAGGCACTAAAGCGAGTTGATCGTCTAAATTCTGTTGTAACTATGGGACGTAGTGCATAGTTAACTATTTAAATTTATATAGATTAGTCGGGCAAGGTTCTGGAATTGTAAACGAAATGAAGCTTGCGCAAGAAACATGGAGTGGAACGCAAGGCGCAGAGCCACATACCCACCACGACTTAACAAGGATGAGGCGCTAAGGCCTAGGGATGCAGCATTGGCCTAGCCCAACAACCCTTATCTCGCCCCAAATCAGTACCTCGCTTCGCCGATACTGGTGAGGGGACCTTATTTTTGCCTTGTTTGATGATTTCTTCCCGTTTTTTATCACTCTCGTTACACTTTACACCTCCACTGCGCTTATAAGCGCAATTACACATGGGTTCGATCCCGGG